ACTATTCGGAAAGAGATGGGAGTTTCTTCCGTTGTCCTGATCAACAATTCCTCAAATAACATGCTGTTTGTGGGACACTGCTCTTTGCAACTGGCTGCCATACTTCGCCCACAAAATACAGTCAAAACCATATTACAGTAGATCTTGTGAGTACTTTGAAATAGCTCAATGACTCAAACTAAGCAGAACAAAGCCGATACCGTTTGTGTTCGTTATATTAGTGGCCATACTTTTTCAATGATCCCTGTATTGGGGTAAGAATTAATAGGAAAAAACGGGTCACAACGTGGAGTTGGTTATAACCAGACGGATCATAATAACCAGGGTTTGTTATATTAAGGTCAGCTGGTACTTGCTTTAGAACAGCTGAGTTCCAAAGAGTGGGGGCAAAGAGGCTGAAAGCCTGGCCACCGATGGTAGGGCAGGTCGGGCAGGAGGTATGGAGCAGGTCGGAGCCTGCTGAGCGGAGGGAGTGGACAAGTCGATAGGGGTCAGCAGGTCCGAGCTGTAGGAGGGGCTAAGGCCGTGGAGGGCCTTGAAAGTGAGGACCAGGATTTTGAATTTTCTGCTCTGAGGGATGGGGAGCCGGTGGAGGTGGGGTGATGGGGTCACAGAGCCTATTGCGAGAGAGAACATGAGTTCTGGATGATCTAAAGCTTGTGGGGGGGAAGAGTTGCGGAGGACGACAAGGAGAGAGTTTCTGTAGTCGAGCCTTGAGGTGATGAATGCGCGTATACGGGTTAGGGTGAGGCAGTGGCAGAGTCGGGCAATGTTGTGGATGTGGGGGAAGACAGAGCGGGTCATGGCACAGATATGGGGGAGAAAGGGCAATTGAGGGTTGAGCAAGTTGCCCAGGTTCCTGACTGGCTTGGTGAGGTGAAGTGTGCAACCATGGATGCTGATGCTGCCAGTGCCTGAGGTGCGGAAACGCTGGCGTGAGCCGATTAGGAGAGCCTCCGTTTTGCTGACATTCAGCTGTAAAAAGTTTACTCTCATCCAGGACTTGATGTCAGACAGACAGTCTGTCAGGACGTCAGTGGTCCTGGAATCAAGGGTGGAGGCAAAGAGCCAGAGTTGGGTGTCATCCGCATCCATGTGGAAGTTGACCCCATGTCTGCGGATGATATCACCAAGAGGTTGAGGAGGAGGGGACCGAGGACAGAGCCCTGAGGAACGCCACACAAGACAATGTGGGGGCTGGAAGAGAAACCGTTGGCGGAGACAAATTGGAGATGGTGTGAGAGATAAGACAGAGAGGAGATAAGAGGAGAGGCAGTGGAGGAAGATGGAGTAATCCACAGTATCGAAGGCAGCAGAGAGGTCAAGGAGGACGAGGAGGCAGAGGAGCCCTGGTCACAGATGGACAAAATGAGTAATCAAGAGTAATGTATCTGCTCACTTCCGAGAGAATTTCATTGAACAGGATCCTCAATCCCAACTCTGACTTCCCATTCCTAAATTCACATTCAATCCTGCATATAGTTGGCAAATCTTTAAACACACTTAAATAAGACAGACATAAGTTATCAGTACCAGCACCTTACATGAAAGGTACTATACAAATGTAAATTTGTTGTTGTTGTAGTCCTCCCAGGTCACTTGACATGCTGGGCGGAAAGCAATCGTGACAAAATACATCATTACACTTGTTTCACTCTGCAGATAGCTAAGAATAGCAATTTGAATCAAATAAATAGTGATTCCAAATTTGGCCTGTTCATTGAAAACAAAGGACATTTGTTGATGGAGTTGGAAGGAGGTAAGCAGCAGGGTGTCTCCGGGATTATGGCACAACCTCTTTGTTTACACTGTATATAAACCCTTTAAAATGGCCAAGCAAACAAAGTTGACATTGTCATTTAACAATACTGTATCAAGCTGAGTGGCTAATAACAGAAAACAAAGGAACACAACTAGGTCTGGATAGATTAGATAACTGGGCTGACAAGTGGCAGATGTTTTGTTTGATATTGTGCTATTCCATGTCAAAAAGTCTCAAAACACTTCACATACTGATTTATTTTGAAGTATAGTGACTGTTCTTGAGTAGAGAACCTTGGCAGGTTATGTGCTCCAGCAATGTCCCACAAACAGCAATGGTGTATTTGGATGAAGAGGGAATATTGGCCACGCGAGCACAACTCCCTGCTTTTCATTCAAAATATTGCCATGGGATCTTTAACCTGCATCAGCAGATGGAGCCTTGGTTTAATGTCTCACTAAAGAAAAAAAAGGACCTGAGTTCGATTCCCAGGCAGTGCAAAACACTGGCCAAGTTTCCTTACTCCATACGCTTCTTTTTACCTAGCAGTAAGTAGGAATCCAGTTGTTAGTCGTTGGGCAGATTGCTTTTCTGGGGGTAATGATTTCTTATTAAAAAAATTTGGTCGCTTAATTCACGACTGTTTGTGGGACACTGCTGTGCGCAATTGGTTGCCGAGTTTCGCCCATAAAATGGAAGTTCATTTTACAGTATTTTCTGTGAAGCTCTTTGAGACATCTCGAAGACATGATAAGGCACTATAGCAAATGCAAGGATTATTATTTTGTTATTAAAATGTACAAAGATTTCTGAACTGTGCATTGTTTTGATGGTTGATGGAAGAGCTTTACTGTTCTAAACTCTACGTATCTCATCTCACAGCACCATTCACCATGCAGTTCCACAGCAGGACCATTACTCTTGCTCTGCTTCCCAGATACTCAGATAATCTGTGGGACACTGCTGTGCGCAATTGGTTGCCGAGTTTCGCCCATAAAATTATCACATTACATGATATGATACGTAATAGTGGAGTCCTGTAGCTCAGTGGTTAGAGCACTCGCTTTGCAAGCGAGAGACCTGAGTTCAATCCTAGGAAGGTCAGGGCGAAACCTTGGGCAAGTTTCCTTACTCCACACAGAGCCTAATAATAATCCCTCCAAAACCAAACAATAATAAATTGGTCATTTTCAATCTACGACTGTTTGTGAGACATTGCTGTGCGCAATTGGCTGCCGCGTTTGCCCACAAATATACAGTCAATTAACTTTACAGTATATTCTGTGAAGCGCTTTGGGACATCCTCCCGACATGAAAAGCGCTATATCAAATGCAAGGATTATTATTATTATTATATGATATGGCATTACATGAACAAAATGGTTACAGGAAGATTTTTGGGAAAAGGTTTAATCTGAGGAGGGATCATTTTGGCTGTACATTATGTGCTTATTGATATCACTGAATTCTGCTAAAATGAGATAATCTTGAGCTTCTGTTTAGTGTTAGAACGTTCTGCCCACTGCTTAATTTGACAGGTCAATGTTATACTTTTCAGGTATCATGGGACTACTGATCATAGTTTGGCAATTGTCTATTTTGAGTTGAAAGCTGTTACTTGATTTAGGCCACACTGGGCCAGACATAGTTGTACATATTGTAAAATAGGAATGGACTGGAGTTGTAAAACCACATTGTGTAAGTGATCCCTTTGGTGCGCAGTTACTAATTAATATTGCAGACTTTTACTATGACGGAGCTATGAGTCACGCTGCCAAGTCAACGATATGGAATAAGAACAAAAAGTATTGAATGCGGGAAACAAATCATTTGGCCCATCGAGCTTGCTCCTTCCACAAACACTCCAGGAGCAAAGTTTCTGCATCGATACTTCATCTCCGAAGGTAGTTAAGCAAAAATGTCACAATGTTTATTCATCTCCACAATTTAAAACGTGCCTCCTTCCCTCGCCAGGCAACAATTTTAATGCCTATTAATCCTGCTTTCAAGATTTAATTCAAATAAGCTGATTAGATTTCCCTCACTAGCTATTTTCATCATTCTAAAGCCTTGTTCCTTCATTTTATCCAATGAAAACAAATTATTTGAGCCTTGTAATTGAGGTATCCCAAGTCCATCATTTTACTGCTGTGCTCTGAAATCTCATAAACACTTCTGAAGGTGAGTTGCCCAGAAATGTTCACAATATTTTTATTATTATTCATAAATAACTTGAACAACAACAACAACAACAAAATTCCATTTATAGAGTGCCTTCCACGTCGGGAAAGGCACAATATAAATGTCAATTTGTATTGTATTGTAATTGTTGCATTTGGTATAGTGCCTTTGATGTCAGAAGGACATGTCAAAGTGCTTCACAGGATTTACTGCAAACGTCAGTGTATGTCAGTCAGTGAATTTTCAGATATGGCTTCACCAATGATCTATTCAAGCTTACAGTAACTTATTTTTTATTTAGAAATAAATGAATGATTTGAAATGCTTCAGGTTTTACATTAGGAACATTGTTAGATAAAGATTCATGTTGCTGCAGCTGGATTTATATTTGATCGAGGACCTAGTTTGACTCTCAGCCTTAATTGATGGTTACAATGTGGGAGGGCATGTGTGTGTGTGTCAGTGGATGTGGGGGTAAGGTACAAAGGGAAATAAAAGGGGCCCTTTCTTGCATTAAACTCACACCTTGTCAGTTGCCTGAGAATATTTTTGATGATGAATGTGGAGATGTCAAAACTGCAGAATATAGTAGAATCTCTTTGAACAATGAACATAAACAATACTAGATGGGCACCTCCTCACATGGCTTAGGGTCTGCCTGCTTTGGTACTGAGCTATAAAGGCTAAGAAGGGTTCCTGCTTCTGATTGCTGACTCCTGGTGGAAATGCTTGCATTTTGACAGGATTTGAAGCATTTCATTTCCCTGTTTGCTTGAATAGGCCACCAGCACTCACTGTTAGCTTGCATTTAGAAGAATGACCACTCTGTATAAAGTATCAGGCAGCGGCTTGGGTTTGTGGAGTAGCCGCAGCATGAATCATTGAGAAAAAGGGAACAACTGAATCAGTGGAAAAACACAAGACTGGATCTATCTGCACAGAAGTAAAAGCAAATCTTATTTTTCTGTATCTGGGGAAATTTTTCCTTTCTCTTGAATGTGTCATTCCATCTGGATTTTATGAACTTTCAATATTGCATTATCTGTTTATACTACAGACACAAAGCTCCACGTGTGGTACATTTCAAGATCACAAAAGACAAACAGATGAAGAAGACCCTTGGGCCCATTTGATCTCATCCTTCTCAAATGTTAACTCCACATTGTTGCATCAGACTGTTCTTTAAACCAATCCAGTGTCCTGGCCTCCACCATACTTTCTGGTAACCATCTTTTTAAACTGTTGATCACCTTGTGCGCAAGGAGATATTTCCCGGTATCTGTAATGAAATTGGGCTTCATAAACCTGAACCAATAGCCTCTTGTTCTGCTGCCATGGCGTATTTGAAAATATATTTATGTGTTCATTTTTTCTGTCCCATTTAACGTCTTACATACCTCTATAAGATCCCCTCTGAGACTTCTCCTTTCAAGGTTAATGATTGACGGTAACATTGTTAATGTAAACGTTGCTGAGTTATTTAATCCAGGTTTGTTTCAGTGTAATTATATTTCACCTCCAGAGGATGGATTTTAAAATACAGAGACCCACAGCTGGAGTCCTTTAATCCAAGAGCAGTCCCTGCAAATAATGAGCTTCTGGGGGAAAAAAAATCTTTTGCTGGTGAAATAAAAGATTTGAAAAAAACATAAAGGCAAGTGGACTTGTAATACTGCGTGTTAGCACAAGACACTTTCTCTTGTCTAGATTTAAATTCATCCCAGACTGATAGAATTAACATTCCCTTTCTCTGATGGTTGTAAGGAGCCTCAAATAAAATATGTTCGGTGAGTCTGAGCCCTATTTTGAGTTGGCACGAATTCACAGCACAAAGCCACGCATAATTTGGCACCAATCTGGCAGTTTCATGTAGAGAGGCAATAAGGCTGACTGTGGAGAAGAGACTGTCTTATAACAAAAACTAACTGCCTCCACGGTGGCTATGAAGGCACTTGTGGGAAATGGAAACACACACTGGTGTATTAAGGCATGCTCTTCTAAGAAACCCTGTATTTATTTTTTGCACTACACATGATCTGGAGTGCTTGTTGCTGATGTTTCATTTCCCATCAATTACTTCCCAATAAAAGCAACATTCATAAAACAAATTCACAACATATATTTACTGTATTCTAGCTAGCCATCTATTTATTATAACAATAGATTCTGATCAGAGCCCCAAAGAGAAGTGCATCTTTAGGTAATAGTTTTATAAAAAGCAAAGCGGCGAGTCATTTTCCCAACACTGATCATTTCATTGCTTCTGCACAAATTGGTTCCCCTACAAAGAAATACACAGTCACTACACATTACAGTCAATCCTTTGGGATGTCCTCACAACGTTAAAAACGTTATATCAAATGTAAGGATTATTATTAAGGATGATTGTTGTAATAACACTGCTTTTTATCTGGCCGCTAGGTGGTGTGTCAGAGTGACATGATTTTGTTCTCCCGGTTTTCCATTAAGTTCCATCCTATGCAGTGTGAATGTTTCAGAAATTGAATGCAGGGAGAGAATGAACCAATTGCTTCCACTCCTGCATCAGAACCTTTCACATTGCTGCTCTGAACCCTCATTGTGCCACCTTCAGGAACAATTGTGTGGAGTCCTGTGGTTATAGCACTTGCCTCGCAAGTGAGAGGACCTGGGTTCGATTCCCGGGCAGGGCGAAACATTGGACAAGTTTCCTTACTCCACACGACTCTACTTACCTGGCAGTAAGTAGGAATCTGGTTGTTAGTCGATTGTAAAATTGCTTTCTGAGGGTAATAATCCCTTAAAAAAAATGTTCTCCAATCCTTAACTGTTTGTGGGTCAAGGCTGTGTCCAATTGGCTGCTGCGTTTCGCCCACAAAATATACAGTCAATTCACGTTACAGTATATTCTGTGAAGCGCTTTGAGATGTCTCAAAGTCGTGATAAGGCACGACATCAAATGCAAGGTTCATTATTATGTTATTATTATAATTGATTCTGCTTATAAACAACTCCAGTATAATAGCTGTGCCTGATGAGTTCTGCATTCTGCTGTTGCTCTCGAACACAGAAATCAGGGTTCGAGTCCAGCTAAAAAACAGGATATTCACTTATCTCAGTCTGTGTCCTTATGAATCCGAACTGAAATGCTGCCTCCAGAATTTTCCACCTCTTGTTTGGAGACTCTCAGGCATTTCAATTCACCAGCATTTTGATCGTAAGACAGGTGAAGTGGCCCTATTAATGGTGATATCCATCAAATAAATGATGTAAGATCTAGAGGTGCCAAGTTTTGTTCAAGATGAATAGAAACAATTAACTGTGATGATGGAGAGGTTATTGCTTTTGTATCATGGCCATTCTTAGGTATAGATGGAAATAAGTAGCATTTCGTAACAGATCCTATGTGTATGAAATGGCACAAATTTCACTCTCATTAATACGTTGGTTACACTGCAGCATTAACACCAAAAACTTATACTCCTTTCACGCAGAGTACAAGTCTTCAGAGCGGGGATCACCAAACAGGAAAGGAAGGAGAGGAGGTGCATTGAAAAATATACATTTCCTGAGTGTTTGAAGACTTGGAGAAAAATGCAAGGAAAATGCCTGAAAGGGCGGTGGAAGCCGATGTGATAACAACTTTTAAGAGAGAAGTAGATAATTATTTGGGGAGGACAAGTTTGCAGGACTATGGGGAGAGCCGGGGGAGTGGGATTGAATTAGATAGCTCTTTTCAAAGAGCCGGAACAGACACGATGGGTCGAATGGCCTCCTTCTGTGCTGTATAATACTATGATTCTATGAAGCAGATTCGGGGACATATCCAGAGCATGGGGACATAGTGGCTGAAGGATCAGCCACTGATGGTAGAATGGAAAGTGTGAAGAATGAGTAGTAGACCAAAGTAGGAAGAGCAGGGGGTTCAGCCAGGAGAATAAGAGTGAAGGAGGCTGCAGGGATAGGGTGAGGCAAGATTGTGAAGGGATTTAAAGGTCAGCTTGAATATATAAAAATCAATCCGTTGGAACTGGGAACTAAGGGAACTTGAGGAAGAGGCCTGAACTACTGTATCAAAGGCACAACTTCTTGAAACCAACTGGGTTCTGGGAGTACACGTAACTACGTAAGAACTGGACAATGTGAAAATAAGTACAATATGGATCACAGTTGTGGACAATGTCATGAAAAGTTGGGAAGAAGTATTGTGAGAAGCACACTGCACTTTTGTGCCGCAAAGGGATGGTTGGGAGTTTTGAAGACGTGTTTAATATACTGGTAAACTGACCATAAAGCATATCAAAGCAGCGCTAATAGAATCCAGTCCAGCATGCACACTAGCCACACACTAGCAGCATGGAAAAAGAATAATTAGTTCAAGTGCCAAATTTTGGATAGGCTAATAACAGTGGAAAGTGATTCCTGGTAAGGAACGGCTTTATTAAGAGAAAATATTACTGTTAGGAGACTCTCAAGCCTTTAGGTTCGAAGGTGATGCACACTAAGTGGTCTTATCACTGGTAACATTCATTAAATGAATGACATTACAACACTTGTGTGCTCCAGAGATGAAATCTCAGCTTCAAATTTGCTTTATATTTGCAAATAGATCGATGTTGCACTGTGCAGATTTCAGGTAGAGGTGCCTTGCTTTTGCTAGGTTCCAACTCTGTTCTAAAACACATGTAAATGTAATCATAAAGAGCTTCATCTGAAATTTCAGTATAATATGAGCTGACATCTCCCTCTCTTTCTCTTCCTGTCCCAAAAATTGGATCAAATCTGGAAATGTGATTTTCTTTATTCAGACCTCTCTCCAGCACAGTCTGGGAAAGATCTGAAATGAAACTTTTTGTTTTGTTTAATTTTAGTCTTTTCTAGCTACAGTATTTTGTTCTCTTAAAAACTGATTTATTGCATTTCTTATGACACTGCAGGGGAGAAAATCCACCTGGGTCTAGATTCACTCTATTTCCTTTGCATCGCAAAGCAAGCAAAATTTGACAAATTGTTGAATCTCTGAGTCTTCATTTTGAAGCCAGTTCTCTGTATTGCTTAAGGAATGTACATAAAAAAAACAAACAAACGACAGAAAATTGGTTTAAAAATTAAACCCCAGATTTCAAAATATGGCAAATTGTTGAAGTCCGTCTTCATTTTGAAGCCAGTTCTGTAGTTCTTAAAATAACTTACAGAAAACTGGCTTCAAAATTATGACACCATTTAAAGAACGTGCCAAATTCTGCATGCTCTGAAATGCAAAAATAGGGTGGCCATACATCCCCGAAATCTGGGGACAATCCGGATGAGGTGTGGTGTCTCTGACCAAATCTGCCCTGTCTGGAGTTCAGCAGCAACAACAACAACTTGAATTTATATTGCGTCCCTCTCTCAGGGTAGCGTCCCAGAGCACTCCAGCAACAACTGAGCAAGAACAATAAAATTCTGAAACATATGCTCATCTGAGAGATACAACAGTAATCCAACAAGCTTCTCCTGTACTGCCAGCGTCAGAAATTGTAGTGAGTTAAATTTTTTTAATATATATGTATATAGATAGATAGAGAGATGAGAGGGATAGAGAGATTTGGCTTACAAAATATGATCACCGTAGGTAAGACAACAAACTAAGTCGAGTTGAAATATCTCCCCCCGCCCCCCCCACACACACACACAGACACACACACAATTTTGGGTTGACCCTGTACCTTTTAAACTCTTTGTATTTAATCGCACACATAACGATTTGCAGTTTCACCCACAAAACACAGTGTCACTACACTTTACAATATATTCTGCGAAGCGCTTTGAGACATCCGGATGGTGTGATAAGGCGCTGTATCAAATGCAAGGATTATTATTATATGAAGAATGAAACTTTAGTGAAAATTACTTGTAAAATAATCTGTGCTGGAACTTCCCTCAGTTGTGTGTTCCCCTTTGAGTCTCTCTTCTGCCCCCCCACCCACCCCCCAACTCCCCTTCCCTCCACCCCCAGGACTGTCACATACAGAGCAATACATTGAATGCTTTCCCAGTGCAGACCCTGGTTCTCTCTCTCTCTACCCCTCTCATCTCTCTATCTATCACTCTCCTTTCTCTCTATCCCTCTCCTTTCTCTCTATCCCTCTCCTTTCTCTCTATCCCTCTCATCTCTCTATCTATCCCTCTCCTCTCTCTCTCTACCCCTCTCATCTCTCTATCACTCTCCTCTCCTCTCTATCCCTCTCCTTTCTCTCTATCCTTCTCTCTCTCTATCCCTCTCATCTCTCTATCTAACTATCCCTCTCCTCTCTCTCTACCCCTCTCTATCTCTCCTCTCCTCTCTATCCCTCTCCTTTCTCTCTATCCCTCTCCTTTCTCTCCATCCTTCTCTCTCTATCCCTCTCATCTCTCTATCTAACTATCCCTCTCCTCTCTCTCTCTACCCCTCTCATCTCTCTATCTATCCCTCTCCTCTCCTCTCTATCCCTCTCCTTTTCTCTATCCTTCTCCTCTCTCTCTATCCCTCTTCTCTCTACATATCCCCCTCCTCTCTCTCTCTATCCCCCCCCCCCCTCTCTCTATCCCCCCCCCCCCTCTCTCTCCCTATCCCTCTCCTCTCCAACCTCTCCATCCCTCCTCTCTCTCTCTCCACACACACACACACACTGGGAACAGGAGAAGGGGTGGATCGTGTGTATGATACGTCATTGGGGGCTACTCGTCAGCCGCCCATGTGTTGAGGAGAGAGAGAGAGAGTGAGTGAGTGAGTGAAGGAAGAAAGAAAGGAGGTGGAGAAGGAGGACATCGCGGGGCAGCAGAGACCCCCCACCCCAGCAAATACACACAGAAGCACTGGGATTTAAATGCACGGAACTGCAGGAAGAGGGGCCACAGACCCGCAGTAACTGAGCCACCAAACCCTGCACCGCCAGAGGGGCTCTGGAGCAGATCGGTAAGGCTCACTGTGGAGTCAGTTGTGCTGTGATTGAAGCAGGGACTGGGGGGGGGGGACTGGGGTGTGTGGGGGGGGGGGCTGGGGTGTGGGGGGGGACTGGGGTGTGGGGGGGGGGGCTGGGGTGTGGGGGGGGGGCTGGGGTGGTGGGGGGGGCTGGGGTGGGGGGGGGACTGGGGTGGGGGGGGACTGGGGGTGGGGGGGACTGGGGTTTGGGGAAGAGACTGGGGTTTGGGGGGAGAGACTGGGGTTGGGGGGGGCTGGGGTTGGGGGGGGCTGGGGTTGGGGGGGGGGGCTGGGGTGTGTGGGGGGGCTGGGGTTGGGGGGGGGGCTGGGGTGTGTGGGGGGGGCTGGGGTTGGGGGGGCTGGGGTTGGGGGGCTGGGGTGTGTGGGGGGGGGCTGGGGTTGGGGGGGCTGGGGTTGGGGTGGCTGGGGCTGGGGTGTGTGGGGGGGGGGCTGGGGTGTGTGGGGGGGGGCTGGGGTGTGTGGGGGGGGGGCTGGGGTGTGTGGGGGGGGGGCTGGGCTGTGTGGGGGGGGGCTGGGCTGTGTGGGGGGGGGCTGGGGTGTGGGGGGGGGCTGGGGTGTGTGGGGGGGGCTGGGGTTGGGGGGGGCTGGGGTGTGTGGGGGGGGGCTGGGGTTTGGGGGGGGGCTGGGGTTTGGGGGGGGGGCTGGGGTGTGTGGGGGGGGGGGGCTGGGGTGTGTGGGGGGGGGCTGGGGTGTGTGGGGGGGGGGCTGGGGTGGGGGGGGGGGGCTGGGTGTGTGGGGGCTGGGGTTGGGGTGTGTGGGGGGGGCTGGGGTGGGTGTGTGGGGGGGGGGCTGGGGTTGGGGTGTGTGGGGGGGGGCTGGGGTTGGGGTGTGTGGGGGGGGCTGGGGTTGGGGGGGGGGGCTGGGGTTGGGGTGTGTGGCGGGGCTGGGGTTGGGGTGTGTGGGGGGGGCTGGGGTTGGGGTGTGTGGGTGGGGGGGAGATCCACTCCCAGACAGTGTGGGAAAGTCAGGGCAAAAGCCATTGCTGGACTAGTGATCCTAAACGTGGTAAGGAAGCCCCAACCGGTGGTCTGGGCAAAGGCTAGACGGGGGGGGGGGGCAAGGTTTGGGGATCAGGGTTGTGGGGAGTGTGTGTGATCTCTCACAGTCTTGGCTGGGGCAGGTTTTAATAATCATCATAAATAATAATACGATTGCATTGGGATTGCTACAGGCAAGAGAGTTGGGTGGAGGGGGTTAGGCACAGACAGAGAGAGGGGGCGAGGGAGAGAGAAGAAATGAGATACTGTATATTTTAACCCCATCAGCAAAGACCTTGGGCAAGTTTCCTTACTCCACACAGAGCCTAATAATAATCCCTCCAAAACCCAAAACAATAATAAATTGGTCATTTTCAATCTACGACTGTCTGTGGGACATTGCTGTGCGCAATTGGCTGCCGCGTTCGCCCACAAATATGCAGTCAATTCACTTTACAGTGTGTTCTGTGAAGCGCTTTGGGACGTCCTCCCGACGTGAAAAGCTCTATATCAAATGCAAGGATTATTATTATTATTATTATCTCAGAGAGACGAGGGAATTCCAAAAGAAAGAGTTGAATAATAAAACCAATCCCTGGAAATGCTTTCAAATGGGTGCAAACTGGGAATTCCAGGCTGCAACTGACTGGGAGAG